GCGCGCGCGCGCACACACACACACACACACACACACACACACACACACACACACACACACACACACACACACACACAGAGTCCCAAAGCTTTAAATGCATATAGGGCCAGAGACATAGCTCATTGGGTAAAGGTGTCTGCCCCCAAGCTGACACCTGAGTTTGATCCCTGAGACCTACGTGGTGGACTGAGAGCCAATTTCTGCACATTGTCCTCTGACTTCCACACATGTATATGCCACCCCTCCAAATAAATAAATAAAACACAAGATACTGATATTAAAATGTCCAATATGCATTTTTAGTGTTTATATATAAGTGTGTGGCTGGGTGTGCCTGATGAACTTGACTGTTTTCCTCAACCCCTTCTCTACCATATTTGTTTATTTGTTTGTTTATCTGTCTATCTATTTACTGGCAAGGTCTCTCACTGAACTTGGAACGCCCTGAATGGCTAGACTGGGCTGACAAGTGAGACACAGAGATGCTCACCCAGGGAGTCTACAAAAAAGAAACCACTGGGGTATTAGTGAGACGTGCCTTTACATATGTCTGTGGGGTGTTTCCAGAGAGGGCTGAGTAGGGGCAGAAGGCTGGCTCTAAATGTGATAGACACCATCCCATGGCTGGATTCTAGACTGAACAAAATGGAAAGAGAGAGCTAGCTAGCATTCTCCTTTCTCCATGCCCTGGTCCTCCAACATATAAGGAGCTACAACTCCTGTTCCCATAACCATGAACTCCATCACATCTTCTCTGTCATCATGGACACTACCTTCTCCAGCCATGACCAAAAAATCCTGCCAAACATAAGCTTTGTTTGGTCACAATGATAAGAAAGGTAACCATTATAACTAGCTAGGGTGGTTGTGTTCTCTATTTCCACAGTCAATGGAAATAGCAAGGGCTTTTAAGATAAAGACCTCAGCTGTGGATGAACAAAGTAAAGGAGTCATTTCAGTTCTTTTTGCAGCATGGAAGACAGTAGTGCACAATGATGAGGTAAAGATGCACACCAAACACACACTTCCCGGCTTGCTGGTGTTATCTCAAGCTATCTACCATGTGCTCTAACTTCTAGTGAGAATGGAGATTTAAAGCACTGTGAGAATTAGGAAAAATACAAGTGCCCAGCAAGTGTCAGCCTTCGGTGCAATTATTGTGACCTATTTTTGCTTCAAATTTTTTTATTTTATGTATATGAATGTTTGACTGCATGGATGTATGTGCACCATGTATATGCCCAGTGCCCGTGGATGTCAGAAGGAGGCAGAAGATACCCAGAAACTGGAGTTAACAGATGTTTGTGAGCCACCATGTGATTCTGTAAATCGAACCTAAATCTTCTGCAAGAGCAGCCAAAGGTCTTAATTAATGAGCCAATTCTCCAGTCCCTATTATTAGCTTTCAAGAAATAAAAATTCTGCTTGATCAGATTTAGGATGAAAATAAAAGCAAATATATAAAGGCCATTCAGATGTAAATATATACAGATAAATACATACATATATATTCGATATGGGAAAAAGAAAAGTTATTGAGAGCCCGATCCATCTTGGATCACATTTTAGATTTGTGCTTTGTGAACCTAAGGACTTTTGGCAGGTGTCTTGACCTTGTTAAATATTCCAATAGGTGTCCCAGGAGTGGCTGTGACTATTATTCAATTTTGACAGGAAAAATAATTTTTGTTGGTTTTTTCAAGACAGGGTTTCTCTATATTGCTTTGGAGGTTATCCTGAAACTCACTCTGTAGACCAGGCTGGCCTCAAACTCACAGAGATCCACCTGCCTCTGCCTCCCAAGTGCTGGGATTAAAGGTGTGCGCCACCAACACCCGGCTCAGAAAAATAATTTTAAGATGAACCTAGATTTTAATTATGATTCTACTACTTACTGTAGACAAGATACTCAACTTTTGTAAGCAGTTTCCTTCTCTGTGAAATGGAAGATAAAGTGTGCCTAACATGGCTATTGGGAAGATTTATTAAATTTGTACAGCATATTTAGTGTAGTGGCCTGTATAAAGTGTGTGCCTAATAAGTGTTAGCTGTCATTATTATGACAATAATTACTGTTATTATATAAAAGGCAGTACTTAATATAAGGTGCTATGGCCATCTCTGACTTAAGCCTCCTACTGATGAGAAATATCTAAGAAATGGATAAATGGACCAAAGGCAAGGTTTATCCAAACTGTGCTATTCATCACTAGAATTGGCTGCAGAGATGGCTCAGCAGTCAAGAATGTGTTCTGATTTTTACAGAGGACCCAAGTTTGATTCCCAGCACCCATATCAGGCAGCTTACCACCACCTGTATCTCCACCTTTGGTGGATTCCATGCCGTCTTGGAGTTTCTATGGGTACCTGAAATCACATGCACAGACCCCCCACATAGATATGCATTATATGCACAATTAAAAATAATAAAAGCAAATCTTTTGGAAAGGGTTTGAAATCTACTTAAGACACTAACAGCACACATACTATGGGCATCTGAAAATTAACTTTCCTTTCTGATTATAATTCAACATTTCCCCTTCTGTTTTGTTTATTGCTTACATATATTCAAGTGTGATTGCTCTACTTCTCTCTTTTGCCTATTTATCAACTTGAATCTTGATGGCTCCCTTAAAATTTGAATGAACTTCCTATATATTAGAAGCAATGTAATAGTAAATGCAAATCCTCTTCCAGAAACTGGAGTCAAAGAGGTCAAGTATTGAGGAACAGGGGACATCTCCCCTATCTAGTTAGTCCCTTACTGTTCTACCCAAGAGATCTTGAAGTTGGTTCTGAGGAAGTGTTAACACCTCAGCATCTCTTAGACAGGCCCTTTGAGCTATTTGAAGTTACAGTCTGGGACTACATAATTCACATATCCTGAGTTATTATTTGGAAAATATAATGGTTATACTTGTCAAAATAAAGATCAGAGGAGACAGCTGGGCTCCACACTATCCCAGGCCCTTTCTACATTGTGGCTTTTTCTGTTGGTGCTTCATTGAGGACGTGAGTATCATGAAATCAGAAGTTTCAGCCTTCCTCCTTAACACCTAACCTTTCAGCATTTGCCACCTATGCACAGACCCATTTCCCCTAAAGCCAACTGATGTGGGCAACATGAATTGCAGTAGAGAAAGCACAAGATAAGGGTTGAGACAACTCTAAAACTACTTTGAAGGAGCAGGAGGGACAGCCAGGGGATAAGGGCACTTGCTGTACAAGCACAAAGACTTGGGCTTGGATCTCAGTGCCAGTGGGTATAAAAAGCCAAATGTAGAAGATGCTTGTAACCCAGGAGATGTGAACGACAAGATCAGGAGGATTGAGCCTAGCTCAAGGTTCAGTGAGAAAATAAATAAGAAGTAAGACAGAGAGTGATAAAACAAGACATTAACTATCTTCCTCTGACTTCCAGGACTGTCCAGATACATACACATGTGCATACACCTCACACATATATACCACACCCATACAATATAAACATGACAATAATAATTAGTATAAATATGACTTACATATCCTTCCTCTATTTTCCTTCAGTTGTTATTTTACATAACTCTAATACACTACAAAATAAATTTCCTTTAATGGAATTTAAAATAAATTATATCACTATTTCTAAGACTACTAGTTTGTATAAATGCTGCCACTGGAGCTCCCAAGACTATAATTAAAAAAGGGCCAAGTTGATACCTAAATGCAAGTTCTCCTCCCTCTCACTATTTTCCTAATTCTGCCCTTGCTTTCCCCTCATACCTAATGGTCACCTTCTCTTAAGAGTCAAGGAACATTCCCAATAACACATTAAGAACTGCAGTTTGGGAGCCTTGGGATTGTTTATGCTTTCAAGCTGTCCTTATGCAGGTCTAATGTCCATCTCTGAATGACCTGTGTGGCCAATATGAGTGTGGATAAACTGTTTTTAGAAGGACAGACATTTTATGGGTGGAGGAGATGGAGCCTGATTTTCAAAAGCAGAGTGTGGTGAGCTCTCTTTCTCAAACTTCAAACAGTCATCCCCCTTCTGCCCCGCCCCAAGTCATATAGGAGGGGAGAGCGCAGACCAGAGTCTTCTTTCTCTGCAAAGACGAAAGGCATCCCTCAATTTGAAGACTGTCCTTGGAGGGCTTCTTTTGCGGTAAGGGAGAGAAGGGTAGGGGTGGGAAGGACTGGGAGGCACTGGGAACCTGAACGACTTCACTGGCTTTCTAAACTCTAGTTTATGTCACGCATCGCAGCCTGAGTGATATCTTGAATTTCCTACTACAGTTCACTGCAGAAGACTTGGAAAGGTCTGTGGGTCTTTACCTCAGCAAGAGGTGGTGGTGGGGGGGGTTGATTTATAGTGCCCAGGTAATCACTTCTGATTTTAACTTGTTAGTAGCTTATCCCTCCCTCACCTATAGCACTGTATTTATTAATAAGGTCATTGGTTAAACCCCGTAGAAACTCCTCCTTACATTACCACACTGCAGCCAGCCCCACGTGTCTAAGTCCCATTCACCCATACAGGACTCTGGAGTTCCTGGATCTCCCGCCCTGGGCCTCCAGCTCGGAGGGTGCAGCTGCCAGGACCCAGCTCTCGGGAGTGTCCCATAATAATTCACGTGCCCCAAACGGTCAGACTCTATCCCTAGTGGCTGGTGAGGCACCTGAGCCTCTGCCATGTCCTAACTCCTCCCAGCTGAGGTTGGCCCAGGTGTCCTGAACAGGTGGCGACAGGTGGCAGAGAAATGCAAAGAACTCGCTACATTCTCCCTCCTCCCTGCGGAGTCCTGGACTCACAGCCACCCCGGGGGGGATGGAGAGCCTGGAGAGAGCACCCGGAAGGCATCTGAGACTCACAGGGAGAAACCACACAGATTCCCTCTTCCCACCGAGTAGCAGAAACTGCACAGGGTCCCAGCAGGTGCCCCAGAAAGCGGAGAGTTTCCTTGGATTCCCGAGACCAACAAGATGCAGGTCCAGCCCCCGAGGAGGAGTTTTCTTCTTACCTGATCCTGTCTTTCTCTGCCCTTCGGAGTTCCTCATTTCTTTCCAGTACCTGGAGGATCTTCCTGGCTTCTTCCTCGTTTAGGAAACTGAAATCAAACCCCTGAGGAACTTTCGTCATTTTTCTCTCTCTCGGGTGCGAGTTAGGTGTATTTAAGCTCCTTGGCACCTCCTTTTACAAAACCATTTTTCAAAATAAAGAAGACTAGTTTTCCCGAACTTGATCCCATAGCCCATAACAGCTCCGCGCCTTTGAAAAGCTAAAACCACAAACCTAGAGACCAGCCCACACATACAGAACTCCTTTTGACAACACCTTAATGACATGTTTCTCTTAACCTGTCCAACCGAGATGCAAAATGAATCACTAAATGAAGAGAAGGAGCCAATCGCATGGGGGGGGGCGGGCCTTGCCGCGGCTCCTCCCTTCCTCCTTCCCCCTCCCATCCTCTGGGTGACTTGTTAAGCAAACAAGCCTACATAATTCTGTCTCTAAGTGAGGCTTACCTTTAAGTGTTAGACCCAAGTATTTGCTTGATTGTTGCTATTTGCTGGAAGAACTTGAGCTTGGCCAGTAGAAAGACTGAGAAGGAAAACGATTCATAACTAATCCTGTCTTTCACTGATTAAAAGTGGTAAAGCCGGTAAGAGTTTGAGAGTTAGCAGGAGGGTTGCCCTGTTTGAAAGACCAGGGAAGGCTAAACTCACTCAAGGGCCATTTGTCTCAGAGGAACTCATAGATGCACTGGCACCAGGTTACCCTTAGAAACGCATTGTTTGCCAAACTTCCCATTCCCCTTACAAACACACTCCCGTTGTCTCATAGGAAATCATTCTCAGTCTTTGAAAAGCCAGCAAGCGAAAGCCCCACTTACATTATTTTAGAAGGCAGCCCTGAGGCAAAGGATATTTATTAGAAAGAGCCTGTGACTAGAGCAAATTGCAATCCTGTGCAACCACAGAAACTGCTTTTCCTAGAAAGATTCCATGATGAAATAAAGTCAGATATTTCCTAAAATGTTTATCTATGTGCTTTTTAAAAAAATAAATGTCTTTCCAGAAAACATATTTCTCTACATAAAAACAATTTTGTTCGATGGACATGCATGCCTAAACACCCTTAAGTTGGTCCTTTCTGATGTTATGGTAATGGCTACTAATACTTGTAAGGTATGTCCACACATACCATCTTTGCATGGTAAATAAACCATACTGGGTTTTAGCCCTGTAAAAGAAAAACAATCAAAGCCATGAAGTGAAAAATGGCTGGTTTTGCCTCTGGTCCCTTGACTTATCTTGATTATCACTGATGTCATGTTGGGACAGCTACCCTTTGAAATAACTTTTTGTGGGCGTCTATTATCTGCATGAAGTGAGGCTCCATTCTATGCACATACAGCACAGAACTCCATAAATTGTGTCTATGTTACTGGTGATGGTTTGGAAATTTGTCATGCACACACTGTTCAATTATTCTCGCATGTTCTTTTATTTATTTATTTAGTATATATACATATTGATTTTCTTATGTGGGTAGTGGTGGAGTTTTGCCCTGTTTTTTTTAAATCAATTAAACTGTTCTGTATCCTGTGACATGAAGCCATTGTGTACACACTAAACAACATAGTCCTTTTCTCATAATCCAGTGAGGGACTTAGCATGAATAGAGATATAATTACTCAATAAAAAGAATCCCTTGGTCTTGAAAGCTGGTTTAGGGGATAAAAGCATTTTCTGTTCTTAAAGAGCGCCTGGGTCAAGTTCCAAGCAGCCACATTGGGCAGCTCATAAGCACCTGTAACTTCAGTGCCAGGAGGCTCTGATGCCTCTGATTTCCTTGGGCACCTGCATTCATGTACACGCATCTCTACATTTATTAAAATAACGGAAGTGCTAAAATGCCACACAGCGCACAGAGGAAATTAGTTTTAGCTAAGTGGGTCAGTGCAGAGGATGTAGAACTGAAACATGTAGAGTAAGATTTGAAGATGAAGAAGAAGACAGACGGAGGTGGGAGAACACATGAGAATCTATTCTAGGCAAGGAGAGCAGCCGTGGGCTAGATCACAGAAATGCACTCCTGGGAGCCTCCCGGGTTCTCTCAGTTCCTTTGATCAATGGCCACGATGAGCCTTCACGGACTGTGAAGCTAAAAAGTATAGGGCTGTATACGAGGACTAGTAAGTACTTGATATGCTTTGGCTAAAACATATCTTTTTTTCTTTTCTTTTCAAAACAAGGTTCCATGTAGCCCAGGCTGGACTCAAAATCCTGGTAGCTGAGGTGTGTAGCCAAGAATGACCCTGAATATCTGCTGCTGTTGCCTCAACTTTCCAAGTGCTGGGATTATAGGCATGTACTACCACACTCAGCCTAGAGTATTTTCAATAGGAAATAGACATACATGCATACATACATACATACATACATGCATACATACATACAATGAAAATATATATATAACAAACAGAGGTAGATACATATCTATAATGTTAGCATTTCATGAGTGATGATTATTGTTAAAAAGATTTTGGGAGGAACAGTAATGAAAAGGTTTAGGAACATCAGACCACAGAGCACAAGAAGAATAAATGAGGGTAAGATCTGCTGTGAGCATTGTCCTAAGGAATATACTCTTTACTATGTGAACAATGCAGAGCCAGCTCAGGTTTTGAGGGAGATGATGACATAGTTGGAACTGAACTTTTGGAAGATGACTTTGATGGCCAGAGACAAGGAAGAATAGAGAGAAGAAGAAAGATATATAAAGTTTGGAGTACTTGTAATTCATCTATAGGACAATGGCCAGCAAAGTCCGGATACCTTGAAGAAGGGATAGAGAAATCATTTATTTAAATATTGCTGAGAAAACCTAGAGAGCAAATAGAATGAACACAGCAAAGGGCGTACAGAGAGCAAGACTGAGCCTGGAGCTTCCGTGACCAGTCCCATCATTGGCACCGAGTTGTGCTTCCTCCTTCATTACAGCATCACAGGGCACACCATTGGGAAAGTTTTATCCTGGCATTTTACACTGAGAACTTTTGGGGGGCTGCCCTGCAAACCACATGGGTTGCTGAGAATGGTTTCACTGGGATTGTGACTACAGCACTTCGAAGTTCAGCCACCTGTATGCAATATTAACATCTGGTAACTCTTGGCAGCCTCCTGTCCAGACCCTCAGCTAAAGATACACTCATCAGATTGGATTTTTAATACTAACAGCTGGATAAAAGAAAAAACAATCTTTGGGAACCTCCCATGGTCTATCTTCTCCAGAATGTGGTCAAATCCCAACAGAAGGATTCTTGATAACCACTCAGCCAAGAGAAAGGCAAATCATATCACTTAATTGAATGTCTCAACTTTTGCTACTGAAGGTCACTTTGACTCTGGTGGGTCACTGAGAAGCAATGCTGGGGGTCAGAGAGAGTTTTCTCACAGTAGTATCCTTCTTACCTACTTCGGCTCATTTCCCTGCACAATCTCTTTCAACAGCAGATTATGGGGTGTGCTTGGTGGCAGTGCTCAGTTTAACAAGCAAATACATGTCAGCTTGAAAATAAGACATTGGCTTTTATTAGTAATGAAGAGGTGTGGGGCTCAGAGAAGAGAGTTTGTGTAATTGTTTGCTTCAGTTTTCACTGCTCTGCTTGGTAACTGGCTTTACAAATCTAGTTAGAAACGTCTGTTTTAGTCCCACCCAAGGTTCAGTACTGCATCTACAGTTTTGGAGTCAAGATTCTATGAAAAAATAGACCTCAACATGTTCTAAATCTTTGCTCTTTTTTTAACTTATAAAGTACAGATCATAACAGAACCAGTCATACAGGATTACTGTAAAAATCCAATGGTGACACAAGGCAACTAGCAGAGATAACACATAGCTTTATTGAATAAATGGCATCTATGAATAATGTTCTTTGGACACAGATGTCTACAATATAAAGAGCACAATTTTCTCAACTGTGAAGGCAACTCTTACTTGTTGGGCTGAGAAAAATTGGAAACCATAACCCAGGAATCATATAGAAGATCATTAATTACTTTTCTTGCAGCCATCACATATCTGAGAAAAGCAACTTAGGCAGGAAGAGTTTATTTTGGCTCAGAGTATGAGGTCTGTCACAGTAGGGAAGATGTGCAACGATGGGTGTCACTAGCTGCGGCTACCAGAGCATAAGGCGTCTGGTCACATTGCAACCACAGTCAGGAAGCCCTGAGCAGACTGGTGCTCAGCTTACTTTCTCATTTTTATTCAGTCTGAGATTCCAGACCATGGCATGGAAGACAACATTTAGAGTGAATTTTCTCTTAGATAAACCCTCTGGAAATGCCCACACAGACCCATCCACTTCTTTGTTTCATCTGTGGTGCTAAATCCTGACAAAATGACAATCAAGATTAACCATCAAAGATGGAGATACAACTCTCGGGTTTACTATTACCAGTGGAGCTTAAATGTAAGAATGTGGCTAAGTTGTACAAGTTGGTGGGCTTTTCCTGCCAACTCTTCCAGATCTGACTCCAGGAAGAACACCAGAGCAGGGCTTGCATTGGAAACAGACATTATTGGTTATGTTGTATGGCAGAGATAATTACTACTAAGTGCTCCTAGCTGTCTAATGGAGGAGCATCACCCCATTAAAAGCATCCATGAAAGAATTCTTCTTCTTCTTCTTCTTTTTTTTTTTTTTTGATTTTTTGAGACAGGATTTCTCTGTAGCTTTGGAGCTTGTCCTGGAACTAGCTCTTATAGACCAAGCTGGTCTCGAATTCACAGAGATTTACCTGCTTCTGCTTCCCGAGTGCTGGGATTAAAGGCATGCGCCACCACTGCCCGGCAAGAATTCATATTCTTAACACCCCAGTCAAATAGCTTACTCCTCTACCTACCCTGAAAAGGAATTAGTACAGGTCAGGCATATAGACGCAATGAAATTCCAGTCATGGAAATCCCCTCAGAGAAATGAAGGGGTGTTTATTCCCCCATAATAATGTTCATCTGTATAAATGTAAGGGTGGGAGGGTAGGGGGGAAGGGGAGTGCGGGAGGAGGGGAGGGAGAGGGAACTGGGATTGACATGTAAAACAAGCTATTTAAAATTTTAAAAAATGATATAAAAATACATAAAAGAACAAAACTTTCTTGGCTATTTAATATATATTAAGTATTAACATGTTTATTTTATGTTTCTATATTTAGAAATTACATCATTATACAAAAGTGTCCTATAATATATAATGTCCCTTGCTTCCCTAGGACAATGCAATATCCTGGATCTTTGAACTTCATGAGGGATTCTTAAGGACTTCTGGGGCATTTAAAGAAGTCACTGAGGCC